TCGTACGTACGTACATCAGTTCGAGTTGCCATACCACATTAGTACACCTTGATATAGCCACTAACTTTTTAATAGGATAAAGATAATGACGTATAAATGTCTTGAGTGATCATCATCCAAGTCAGTCAGTCAGCTACAACGTAGGACCTGGCACATATTTGCATCCGTCCAAGTTGCCATACCTCGTTAGCACAACAAGATAAACACTGAATTCAAAGAAGTAGTTAATTTAGTGGTGGTAATATATAAAAGAAAAGTTGTATATAAGGATATAGTTGTAGTGCCGTGCTTCATTGATAGTTCACTTCGATAACCGTTATTATACCAATCTTAACGGTGTATAAAATCAGAAGGCAAAAGGAAGCGGCAACTACATTTTCATTGATGAATGATGCGGACCAGAAAGCTGTGGGCACATGAGCAAGTGTAAGCGAGCGAAGCAAACATGATGCATAGTGGAGATGGCTGGGAAGCCAATTCGCTATGAGCAAGCATTACTCAATATTTATAATCAGGCAAAAATGAATGACAGACATATGATGAATAAGATACGAAGTTTGCATACATATACGCTCAAATAAAAAAGTAGTCAAGGTTAATAAACGAATAATTAACAAGATCAAAATATGACTCATAATGGATAGGCGAATTGGCTTGGCCAGTAGCTAGAACAAAGTATATGGGCTTAACGTATAAACTGATACTGCATAGTACAGGAAGAAACACAGATATGAAAAAATTTTAATCTCATAGTTTAAAAGAAGACAAAGAGTGTATACACCTACGCTATTGTGATAGATTCTGAGACATGTCACCTAGAGTCTCCAACTATTGGTTACGATAGTCACGTGGATCCCAACCAAGTAGTCTGCATCTGCCAAAATGGTTCAGACTAGGAGTTAGTAACTTCAAGCAGTGATGCCATGTTTTGGTTTGGCCACCCCTAACTCTCTTCCAACCATCCTCAATACTAGTCAGCATAGCGCGTCGTTATCAAAAGGCAACCTCAAACTAGAACTAAACAGTTACTCAATGCTTCCTAGTTTTCAAATTCAATTTAAACTATTGAAGCGAAATTAACCTTGAAAATTTAAAACATCCCTTATAACCCACAAATATAATAATAATAATAATAATAAAGGCTCATTCAACAATATTGTTTAAACTTCCCTTTATTATAGAGACAAATTAATTCATGTTATTGTATTACTGTTTCTCTACTTTAATAAAGTACATATGTATTCATCATTACTTTTCCCTAATTGTTAATATGATGATTACAAACTTTGTATGAAAGAATTATACTAATTCAAAAAATGATATGATGGTTTTTATGTCTTTAAGGCCGGCTAATTATCACTGGGTTTATTCGCCAATGGAAATATGACTTATTCCATCTTAACACTGTGCCGAACCAATGACATCCGACCGGCATGAGCAGCCTAGTGTCCTTTAGTCGCCTAGCTGTTCCAGTTGAGTCCAGAACGCCAATAACAGTTCCCATTATACAAATCACTTTTTTTAAATATACTTGGTTTATATACCAGCTAGCCAGACCGCATCAAATTATTAAATAGGAAATAACATTTAGACAAGATCAAGTCAAAAGGTGGCTGTGAACGTGGGAGACTGTAATCAATAAACTGAGTATAATTTAAGAATAGTAATAGTCTATAGGTCAAAATGAAGCTTATATTAAGAGGACTATAAATTTACACAATTTAGTTACTGAATAGTTGTACAATAGCTATATATATATATATATATATATATATATATATATATATATATATATATATAGCAGTTTGGAGCTGTGTGCCCTGTTAATGTATAATGCGATGAGTCCGCCAATTAGAATACAGAGAATTATCGAACAGACCAATGACACACGAAACCCGTACGAGCAGTCTAGAGTCTTTATCGGTCCTGCTTTCCGCTTAGCCCAGCCAGTTAAGTCCAGAACACCGATAACAGCCTCTGCGGTATGAATCATTATATTTCAAACATACTGAGTTTATATACCAAACGACAGACCACTTCGTACCATAAAGTAGTAAATAACATTTGTACAAGATTTAGCCAAATGTGGCTAAGAATAAGGGAGATAGTAAATGATGAACTGGGCATAATTCAAGAATGGTAAATCGTATAACTATAGTTCATAATTCAAAATAAAGCTCATAATAAAGGGAACATGAATATGAATAGTTTAGTTACTTAGCAATTATACGATAAAAAATATACACATAGAAAAGGTCCACAAATGGATCCCAAAGTTTCCAGTAATAATTCTTATCGGGACATAACAGTATATATATTTTATTCATCGTAAGCTTTTGGTTGACATATTCACTATTGTTGTACGACCTACTATTCTTAATTTGTTTTCAGTCTATTATTTCCAATCTCCCCCATTCACTGCCACTTTTGTATGAATGTCATTTTTTTATTTTATGGTGTGATGTTGCTTGCTATGTTTGTTTATAGACCACGTCTGTTGAAATATAAGTGTAGTAAAGGCTGTCTTCTGACTTTAAGACTCACGGGAGGGTATAGAGAGACGCGTGCGGTTAACGACCAATATTATCTCTACTGGAGAAGTGATTTTATGTTTAGTCAGTTAAATGTCACTTAATTTTTTACCTATCATTATTGTGTGTTCAGTGCATTCGTTTTTATTTTCAACCATTCAATCTTTCTAGACTATCAAGGTGTTCAGGGATACTTTCCGAATACATGATGTATGTTGCAATGTTGTATTCAATTTCTTAATTTAACTTGGATCTCTGCTACATTAAACTACGGTTTGCTAATATTAACTTGGAATCGAGCTCATATCTGATGGTAAATCCAATTCACTTTTTAGTTTCGATCTTGAGACACTACAGGTTATTGCTGGAAAACTGTGAAACGAATATTCAACCGTATCGGGTTGAGGCATTTACTTACCAAAGACAACGGGAAATGGTCGCGCAATATCGTGTATTCGCTTCTCGAACTTTTCGCATGCAACTTTACCTCACTAAATATTTATTTAACATCTATATTCAGATTCAAAATTGAATGTGTCAAATGAACAGCCTTGATGGTTAAAACACTAAATTCTCGATCGTCAGGTAGCAGACCCGAGCTCTTTTCCATCTATTTCGTTGTATGCAGTCATCAGATAGTGTATCACTAGTCTTCATACGACTAAAGTGACCTGTAATCGAATACCTATTCTTAGTGACTTATGATAATAAAAGACACTGATCGATAATTCAGTTTACTTACATAAAAGATGATTGAACATTTCAATAAACTTAAATAACAGGACTTTTCTCAGACAGTGTTACGTTCATTTGCTTTCTGTCCCTATTATCTCTTCAATCAACTGATCGTGTATTGCTTTATACTACTTGTTAATATTCAGTAAACAATCGTATATCTAATAATTTCTGAATGCATAATGTAGCTCACGTTTATTTATGTAATTTCCTAAAGTATTGACATTAACTAATAGCATACAATGTATTTATTAATGTAATTACTTTCTCTTTACCCTCGTAACAGTTATTCCCAGTTTTTGTAAACTTCTTGAATCTTTTAGCAGAGATGGATAGTGGCTAGCAGTGGAATCCAGGACGCGCGTTTCGATGGGAAGATTCAAACAAACAATACCAAGTGAATTCTTGAATCTTTGTTTGTAGAAAACAGACTTCATATTTCGCATTTCGGTTGTTGATATTTGACACAGCTCCCAGCTGTCATTTACGATATCGTATGTTGCAATTACTTTTTATATTGTGGTGATAAAAAGCCTTTCACTTTACAGACTCACAGACGCGTTAACCGCCACAGATACTTCAGCAGTTGAGATTTGTAACCAATTTACATTTATTCTTTGATTAATAGACCCATTCCTTAGAGAAATAGTTATTTTTGGACTTTGGTATCACATGTACCTCAATCATGTAATTGGACTCTTTGGTAGAATTTACACATAGTATAAACATTGAGTTAGTGTTCCACCTGAATACAGACTGTATCTCATTCAAGCGCTTAATAGCAGCTCACGTACAATCGAGTTTGTTCACACTTAACTTATTTAACGGACAGTCATTCGTACAATAACAACCTATCTGTACTATTGTACGTTTATTATTGTTGCACTCGTATGAATACGTACTCTTGAGCATTGCTAACTGCCTATATATATATTCGTTCTGCTAACCTCACTTAATTGATTCGGTGATTCATTCACTTCCTAATGTATATATATATATATATGTACATTTTAATCCTGTTCTTGGACTCGCACACTCAATCATTGACTCGATTACTGGCTCACTTGCTTTTCTGCACTACTATTTCATGCTTGCTTAAGATGCCTGTAATTTTGGCAATCTGTGCGTTGTGCAATAATAAACGTAATCAACACTTCGTATTCGCCTCCTAATTTATACACCGTTAGGGCGTTATCTAGTAACGGTTGTCAGGACGAACAACATACGAAGTTTAAGAATAATACCGACCACTACAGCTTAATTAACTACCGCTCATTACTTATAAAGCAGGATTAAATTTGTGAGGTTTTACAGAAAAATGCGGAATGTTGTTTTGTTACTTAAACTAAAAATTGATGTGGAATTTATGACTTAACATATTGTGTTTTCTAGAAATTTGTCTAGTATTTGTAGAGCATGTAGTTTTGCTTCAGACATATGCAATCTGATGCAACCACGGTAAAAATGTTCATATGCTTAGTGTGATTGACGATAGTAGTTTTTGTAAGAATACTCACATTCAATGGCAACACTATATAGGTAGTAATGAAGCCTGATAAATATTATTGAGAATAATAAAGATTGTTATTCGGAACTTGGTTACACTAAATTTAGGTGAGAAGCTCGTGTACACTTTGTTTGTTTCATTGCAGTAATTTCCATACTGATAATTGTGTAATGTGACATAAGTCATTTACAAAGTACAGGTTTATGTACGCCTAATGATGATAATCAACTCCCCAAACTGAGGTGTATGAAATACGGTTCGAAATTGAGATCAACTAGTTGAAAGTCAAGCAGTTATCTCTCTATTATACGTCGAAGCTGTAGCCAACAAGGGAAAGCAGTTGGTTCATAGCATAGAAATATAGAACGAATGACATTTGTGAAATGTTAGCGTATATATGCTAGTGTTCCATGTACTCACGGTCTTGTCACAGAGATCGAATAAACCAATTAGTTGAGATTTACTAAATTACCCAAATACCTATTGCCGTTTTCGTTTATATACGTAAGCCTTTTAAGAGCAACGAGACAAGAAGAGTATTGCATTAGATTTTAAGTTATAAATTGTCCACTTTATTGATATTATCATTATCATCACCATACTCAATATTTCTTCTTTCGGATTTCCAGAATATTGTCATGTTTATTTTTATCCATCACTCACGTTTATGTTTTTCATGTGGAGGGAAGAATTCAAACTTTTCGTGATAACTTAAATTTACATCAATATTACCTCAAAAATCCAAACACAATCTAGTAAATAGCAATGTTAATTTGCTTATGTTATAAATAGAATTTAGATATATAACAAGTTAGTTAATGGATGATGAGAACCAAAGTATTGTTCATATTCCTAGTGATGCTATAGTAAATATGGTTAGATACTTTGGGCGACATGGTTCGAAATCAGACACAATAGTACAGATGAATTTCAATTGAATTTTTGCTTACTTATTTAATACACAAGACATCAGAACAATAGTTAGTCGGTTATATGCAACGTAGAACTTGACACATGTTCATCGGTTCAGGTCGTCATACACACTACGTTAGTCAAGCGAGACAAAATTATTCTAAAACAAATCTTATATCAGTAGAAAATATTAAATATATACAAAGAAAAAAAGGTTGAAGAAGATTTTGAGACTCAGGTTTTAGAGGAATACAAGAACTGAATACACCTGTCATAGTACAACTAGGTACAAACATATAGCACATGGAGATAATCTGTTTTTAAGGAAAAAGACGAGAGAAATGGAACTCAGTCAAAAAATAACACAAATAAGATGTGCAAGTCAATTGAACTCGTTTAAAATAAACACATACACACACACATGTGAAAGGAGATCATGTTCCCTACAATATATACACACACACACAAACACAATAATGTAGCTATATTAACTCACCATTAAACTTTTAATAAAACATTCACGTTGATCAAAATAATCTAAAAATTCTTTACAAAATTGATCTACTAAACAAATAAATGTCAATGAAGCAGATGACATTAATGTTGACGAATTGTGTTGACAGGTGGGATTATTCATTAAATGAACAATTTTTTCCTGATCATCTTTCAACTGTTCTAAAAGGATCGTATAAATTCGATTTAATAATGTTTGAATAGTTGAATAAATAGTGTCTTCTGAAATATTATACAAATTATCAAGGGATTGATAACACTGTTGTTGAGCATCATTATTACTTATATTACTTATAAATGTATACATTAAAAATAATATTAAACCTAGGTGATAGGATGGACCAGAATTATTATTATTACTATTAAGTGATAAATAAACTGAACTCCATGTAACATCATCATCATCATTGCCATCACCGTCATCATTATCAGCGGAATGATCTGGTAGGCATAGATCTAACTTTTCAAGAATTTGATGAAAATAAAGACGTAATATATAGTAGAATTGTGGTAATATCTTGAATTTATTCTCGACAGTTTGATTATCAGTAAATGATTCGACTAGATTAGATACAGTAGCAGAATTACAACTACTGATGGATGAATCGATTAAATTATGAAATAAATCCATGATGAAACTGTAACTTAAGTAAATCACTTCATTGGTGTTTTTTTCACCGAATGGCAAAATGAAACCATATTCTGTCAATAGAGTTAAATTATCATGTGCTCCATAATTGATTAAAACCTAGAAATTAGGAGAAATTAAAAAAACAAAAATAATCAACAGGATATGAAACAAACAAAACGAAACAATGAAATTAAGATTGGGTGGTAACTAATTTGGTTATGATTAATTTACGTTATTAATATGGGAATTTATTGGGAGTTATTAAATTTTCATAATTTACATAACGGACTGAGCTTTAAACGTGTCGAGTATGAGACAATTATCCACTGCAAGCAATGGAAGATATAAACACAATATGGTGAGATGATTGAAGTTAGACAACTACAATATTGTGATCTAGGGGTAAAGCATTTGCACGAAAGACTGAAGGATCTGAGTTCGATCCCCATACTAGGACGCAATAGCTTTTCAATATTTCCTAGTTTTCAGTGGTGATCTAGCTAACTGACATTAGTTCAGGAGTGAAGAAAAACAACGATTACTTATATGTATAGGCTTCAAACACAATGAGGAGTGAAGGCAGCTTAGGCGTAGGCTGGTAAGAAGCCTACTCAATGATCATGAACAGTGTTGAACAAAGAAAAGATATAGAAAAGGCGGTGACAGTAAGTAATAGTTGAAAACTATTTAGACTTGTCAAGGAAACAAGTATTAAAAATTTGACTGTTAACGAGACTATTTCGGAATACGTAAGACAATTATTCACTCTTTTTCTCAATTGTTGGAGAATGGGTTGGTAAGTTATTAAAGGAATAGTGTGTACTTTTATTTTAAGTTTTCTGTATATTTCCGTCCGGGTTCTGAATTGCGTACCAGAGTTTAATGAGTAACAGAGACTGCTAAGCAATTTATTGGCCGTATGATCTACGTTAATACACTGTATTATTGATAGGGTTGCTTATCTGAGTCGAGATGAAGAAATGAATGAATGGTGTTAGTTCACAGCAATATATTAGACAGATCATGTTTCGTACTTGTAACTTACGGGCTATCAATAAAAATCATGACAGAGTACAGTAATCTACCGTATACAAATCATTCAGTTGTCACAAATATTATTGTGAATTGTACAACTGATTGGTCAGTGAATAGTGACGAATGTCTAGCTCTTTAGTCCAGCCTATATAATTTAGAGATGACGTCGCAGACTGTGAAGTTGGGTGATGGGAGAGAGTTACGTAAAGTATCAGTTCACTCAAGACTGTAAAGTTAAGCATCTTGCTGACGAGTGGCAGCCAACTAGCATGAAGTCCAGGTTATGCAGGGTTTCCTACCATGTACTTACACGCATTCAGAGTATAATTCGCCAATAGTTGTAATTGACCAATTACAGTAAATTAAATCTCATAATATTTATTGTTAAGTAGTATACAATATTACGGCTAAAAAGTAAATGATAACATTCTTCGCGTTATAAAAATAAAACACGAGAGACTACCTGTTCACCTGCAGATACTGAACGTTCCAAATATAATTCCAATGATAATCCTGTTTTAGACAGTGACAAAGCGGTTGGTACATTTTGATCATGATTTAAAAAATCAAAAAATGGTATCAAAGCAATTGTGTGGTTATCCTTCTCATTCATAAACAGTGAAACAACTTCAAAATCATTACAAAAGCTCAAATCTTTTAAATCAAAACTGATTAATAGATTATAAAGATGTTGAACCTGTGATAAAGATTCTTTAAAAGGACATGAAACACAACGTGAATTCACAGTACACCAAGCCCATAGGAATTCTTTTGGCGGAATGTCATAACCTTTATAATGCAAACCTTTTGTACGATCATTGTTATTAGTAAAAATTGGTTTTATGCAATTCCACGACCTTAACAGTCGAGTTAGCAAACGTTTTAGTTTAATATTTATATCATTTGAATGAAAATAATCAGGAGAGTTAATTGTAAATAGTCTCTCAAATAAACAGTCAGTATCTAATAAGATACAAGATAATGGATCTAAATAAACTTCTGGCAGAACAGATAGATAAGGTGCCCAAATCTTTCTTAGGATGCATTTGGTTGAAGTTGAACATTTACAATGGTACATAAAAGCTGTAAGGGTATCAAGAGAGTTTAAATTAGCTTGATAACGTTTGGAATGTTTAAAACATGGACAATGATTAAGTAGATAAGCACATCGTAACGGTGTAAGAACTAAGTGTAAATCATCTAATGGCACAGAATAACAGCATTGTTTTGATTTTATTTCACAACAAGCAATTAGACCACGTTGGCCAAATTTTAATTTGTTTGAAATTTTCAATAAACTTCTTCCAGGATATGTAGTGTGCAGGCGGGATGATGCAGTTAACCAGTCATCAAATTCTTTCAGAGAACGGTCTTCATTTAACTTGTAATTAACCATGAACTAAAATCGATTAACATAATAACAGTAATAGTGACAAGGTGAGTACGAAACAAAATCAAACAGAATCGATTTATAACTTTTAGGCTTTTATATCATTTAATATATTTAAAACGTAAATTATTTATTTATTTACTTAAACGCATAAATATTGGTACAAGGAAGCACCGGATAAATATGCGCCTCACAAATCTCATTCGATTTGTGTGAGGGCTGTGTTACTGCCTAGGTGCCCAAACTGAAGCAGGTGGTTTTCTTAGGGGGCCACACCTGTAGCCTTTGATCTGAAGGTCTGATCCACAAGGCAGTGGAGCATCATGAGGAGATGCAGTCCCATGGTAGCCGGTGACCAACAGTTGGTTTATACGCCATCCGTTCCTTCAGGATCCTGAAGCCCATGTGCACCATTGGTTTGGAATGAGGGTTTTCCAACTCCCCTAGGTGAACTCTCCGTGTCCACCAACCCGGTTAAGCCGGCGCCGGACATTCGCTTTTCATCCTCTCAATTTCGTAAACAACACCCCCTTTGTGAGAATGCAGTAAGTAGGACTTCCCTGGCAGAGGCTATATACGCGTGGCCGTGTGAGAGCATTTCGAGAGGGAGAGCGGACTCTCCCCACTATCGGCCGTACCAAGGCATTTGGGGGCCAAAACGTAAATAGTCACTATTTATTTATTATTCTAAACAGTAAGCGTTTGTGAGATGAGTGAAGTTAATGAATTTATTTTCTTAGGGAAAATACAATTGGTTTCGAGAAAAAATTAGTCCTCAATGATTCTTTACAAACTTCTATCGTACCGATGTGAAATATATTTTAAGTGGACTGACACAACTGTCTGAAACTTGCTTGATTAAAAATTGCAGAGAAGTTTAAATAGTCTGTTGAATTAATAGTAATGGGTTTATTTCTAAACAAATTCAAGTATTTGATAAATAGCACCCATTAGGTTGCGATTTTTTCAATAGACAGGTATACTCAATGCAAGGGTTATATATATATTCTGCATACCGTTGAACACTTGGCTTAACTCATGACAATTATTAAGTCACGTGAAACATTTTTGGTTTTTTGTATTCCAGTCGCTTTCATGTTGCATATATTCGACTAATCAGCTGAATGCTTGAACACACCCTACACTCCACTGACTGCATAGGTATACTTTTGCTTGTCTGTTTCGAATTAGCTGTTATTGTGCTCATATGGCTGCTTTTTTCTAGTTACTGAAGTATACATCCCTATAAATTTCTGCAAATGAGTCTTGACCTTACGCCATCTGGTTCAAAGCAATTTGAGTTCGGGTCATCAAAAACTGCATCTTCTAGAATTAAATCAAAACCTAAAGGTTCAGCTGCACAATATATATATATATATATATATATATATATATATATATATATATAGGTCGAATTGAAGTAACGGCTTAGGAGTTGAGGTGTTAGAATTTTAGACACTAAATCCTAGGTTAGAAACCCACCCCACATATTTCCGCCTGATGAAACAGACAGTATTACTAGACCTCATATATAAATTATGACTCGAAGCAAAGTAAGTAGAGCCGTGCCTTGTAATGAGTCAATGATAATAATTTGGCTAAAGTTACTAAACTCTCCGCATAAGTACAGAGAAAGAAGTCAGTAACAAAACACTAGTAAGGGTAGTCGTAATGCTATTTACAGTGAACTAACAACAACTATGTTTACCAGGATCATCAAAGTAAACCTCATGAAGAAACTATGGACCCTATGCTACCCTCTTTAGACTACTAACCAGTAATTTTAAGTACTAATACCACGTTTTAATTTGATCACATAGCCTTTCCCCAACATATTCTTATGTTACCCAGTTTAATTTGCTAGAGTAGATGATAGACCCCCAAATGCCCTGGTACGTCCGAGAGTGGGGAGAGTCATCTCTCCCTCTCGAAATGCTCTCATATGGCCAGCGAATATATATCCTCTGCCAGGGAAGTCCTACTTACTGCATTCTCACAAAGGGGGTGTTGTTCACAAAAGTGAGAGGACGAAAAGCGAATGTCCGGCGCCGGCTTAACCGGGTTGGTGGACACGGAGAGTTCACCTAGGGGAGTTGGAAAACCCTCATTCCAAACCAATGGTGCACATGGGCTTCAGGATCCTGAAGGAACGAATGGCGTATAAACCAACTGTTGGTCACCGGCTACCATGGGACTGTATCTCCTCATGATGCTCCACTGCCTTGTGGATCAGACCTTCAGATCAAAGGCTACGGGTGTGGCCCCCTAAGAAAACCGCCTGCTTCAGTTTGGGCACCTAGGCAGTATCACAGCCCTCACACAAATCGAATGAGATTTGTGAGGCGCATATTTATCCGGTGCTTTCTTGTACCAATATTTATGTGTTTAAATAAAAAATAAATAAATAATAAGACATGTAATAAACCTTAGCCAGTTGAGTCTATAAAAGTTTACGACTCAGTCCACCAAATCACCACCTTACCTTGTAGTCTTCACTTAACATCCTCATCTCTCGCATACTGATCTCAACTTATTTGCATACAGCTGGAAAATATCTATGGCTGAACGCTAGGAACTTATGTATATTTTTCAATTTTATAGTTCATTTTCCATAGCTACAAAATAATACGGAACAGACTGCACTGAAATATATAAATTCCAAGAGGTACATACGTATGTCCCCTGTACTATAAGTATTGTCGGTGAGTAAAAATCTATTCAGCTTTCGTATCCGTCCCGATACATTATCAACTGTCAGCCTAACATAAAACAATAACTTGTGGTAAGTGAATTAGTCCATACAGTTATTTTATTTATTTGTTGCAATAGGCATCAATGCAAACTCAATCTGAAACACCTGTTTGCTCTTAGGTTTAGAAACGAGTACTAATCAGTATTGCTACTTAATTTGTCTGGAAGACTGTATTTTTCAACAGTTAATCAGCAAAATTATACCGTTCGTACACTAAAAGGCAATAAAAATCCCTCTAGTTAGGAGATCAAGTCCTGAATTCAAAAGTTAATCCTTAGGTCATATTGCAGAGGTATATGAAATTAGAATAGACAGTATTAAAGTAAATTATTTAATGTAGCCAATTCAGTTATTTGTGAACTGAACCCCAATCACAAGTATTTAAGTAAATAGCATGCACTGGGATGATTTACTTCATGACGATTTTCCTAGGTTTGTTCTTGTTCAGCTTAAGTTAATTGATAGATATCTTTTGAAAAGGCTTCGCTAGGCATTAAACAGGAAATCATAGGCACTACTTAGCCTATTTTCATTATTAATCGTTAGGAAATTGAAATCTGATCTATTGAAGAGTTAGAAAATCATTAGCTGTGAAGTGGATTAATTACAACTGTTGTAGTTTAATTCTTACTACTCATTAAAATAGCGCTGGCCAAATAAATCTATGTTCCTAATAATTTGACAACGCATATGAGAAGTCTGAATATCTTTTTAATAAACATCTCCACCAAGTTAACTAGACAACAGAAGTTTGGTTTTCAAAGATTATGTGACTTATAAAAATTAAAGACATATGATTTGGATCCTAATATGCGTAAATGCTAACTAGAGGTTCGCATTTTCGATATTGGGTAAAAGATGTAGATACGGTATAATTCCAGTTAAGAATTTCTAAACATGTGGATCTACTGAGTATTATCTATTATATTGTAAATGGGTATTTTTTAACAAAACAGATTTATGTTGTTCTTTCGAATCAACAAATCTCATATGCGGGTATATATATATATATGTTCAGTCTTATATAGCATTTTTCATGTTACCTTTTAGTTAGGTGATTAAAATAGTTGGGCTTACGTTAAAGGATGAATTGAAATATCGTTTGAGATTGAAACTGAAAAACATTTCAATAAACCTAACACTAACATTTACTGGTAAAATAGCTTTAACTGTCATAACATGAAGAATAAGGTAGAACTATGTTTCGCAATAATAGTTAAACATCGACTAGTAATGAACAATCTGTTTTTTTTCAGATACAGCACTTATAATTAAAAATATTCAATTTTCTAGAAGTTTGAAATAGCAAATCTGGGTAAGTAATTTGAGTTCACTGAATTAAAAGGTCGTATAATAATCAGTTCTAAAAATAAAAGTTACTTTTAAATTAAAAACACGAATTTCAGCGAAGGGATCTCTTTTCAACGAATTTATTATCAAGCTGTACAATCGTATATATATATATGAAAAAGTTTTGTTAAAGTACTAATTCCGTGAGGAAATGTGAACATTAATAACCAAGATTATAATACTAGATTACGTAATACGAATAATAATAAATTTAATGAATAGAATAAGACGAATAAAATGTTTTGTTTACAATAATTAAAGGTCATTAAAGGTCATAGAGGTGTAAAATAACCAAGATGATATGATAAGTATTCATGAATAAAATAATGCGAATATAAAACATAAGTAAAGGGGGAATGGAGTAATAATAATAATAATAATAATAATAATAATAATAATAATAATAATAATAGAATGATAATAATAATAATATTAAGGCCATGGTAACGATAATGATAAAACGTACTTCTTTTGTACGCATAGTTCTGGTTTGAGCTCGTGGATGGTAAGAGCTTCGGCTATTTTTAAGAGTTTGATACGAAGAAATCTTGGTAGATTTGAACGAATCATATAAACAACCTTAAAATCAGACTGTGGATTCGTCGAATGATTACAGTCGATTAAGTGTTCAAGTATAGAACTTCTAACTGCTTTCCTTTCACCATTATAGAACCAAACTGGTATATGTTCTCGTATCCGAGTTGAAAGCGAGCGTTGGCTACGGCCGATGTACCTTGCTCCACAAGAGTAGGTGAACTAGTAGATGCACATAGAGGCGACCAAACGTGGGAGCTTATCTTTTATGGACACAGAGAATAAGTTCTTACTAGTGAAGGTTATTCGTAGTTTAGCAGCGTTAAATGTCCTTTTAATCGTTGTTGTTAAACGATTTTTAATTATGTCTGTTGTTCGGTCACCTTTAAATTCCAGACTTATATAAAGGCTTTTCTTTGGGACTGAATAACTAGGATTCCTATCGACGCTACTTCTATTCATATTCTTCTCTATGAATCGGTCTGGGTAGCCATTTTTCATCAAAGTTTTCTTGAGGAACTCGAGTTCTTCGTTAATGCATTCAGTACTACATATCCGATGTATACGATAGCATAAAGAATGAATCAAATTTCTCTTTCTAACGGAACCCAGCTATAGAAGTTGGTTAGTTGGCCGTTCCATGTTTGCTTTCTAAAGATAGATCTTTTCAAAGAACCATTACTTCTTCTCAATAGATGTACATCAAGAAAAGGGATTGATTGGTCCTTCTCTCTTTCTAATGTAAAGTCTATGGAAGGGTGGCATGAGTTAAAGGAGTGTAAGATATCGTCCAAATCAATATTATCGTCACAAACGACAAATGTGTCGTCTATGTATCTTACATATAGTTGGAATCGATTTATCATTGAACTGAGTTGATTGTTTTCTAGTTTTGCCATGAAGCAGTCTGCTAGAATTGGACCTAATGGAGATCCCATTGCAATCCCATCTCTTTGTCGATATATTTCATTGTTGAAACTAAACTGGACATTAAAGGTACAACGTAACAATAATTCTTTTAAGTGTTCAGTTGGAATACCTAGATCTATGTTGTTAGAGTCAATATACTCACAAATATAACAAATCGTTTCCGTTAATGGTACACTAGTGAATAAAGAATTAACGTCAAGCGAGAACATGTGTTTTCCGGAAGTATTAACATCCTTAATACGATCAATAAATTGATCAATTTATTGATCGTATTAAATTTCGAAACTAGATTTATAAATCATCTGACTTTATTTCTAATTAAACATATTAGTGAGATATCAATAAGTGTCTTGGCAGTTTGCTGATAACTACACCAATTCATGTTGCATCAGTATATTTTCTAACGGCAGCCTCGTAACTCTCCGTCGTAAGAACGTCTAAAGACCATATGAACTTATACATATTTCATAAGAGTCATGTCTTCGGGATATGTTTAAACATCTTAATCCCCACGTGGGCCGAACCATCTCGGCTCATGAATCTCCATCAACTGAGATGGTTGGGCCACGTGCTACGTATGCCTGAAATCCACTGGTTTTTTGTAATCCTTTGGTTAAAATCTGTTAGTAATTTAAACCAAAAAGTTACAAAAAACTAATGGATTTCTCCTAAGTATATTGCACTGATGGATTTTCGTAAGCTCATCCCATCAGGACCTGAACACGACGAAGAGGGAAAACAAATCAGATCTAGGTTAACCAAAAGTCTAAGGAACGATTGTTAGCGGTGGTGGGCAACGAAAGCAAAAGAGATGGAAAAGACAGCGGCTGTAGGCAACACCAGGCAACTCTTCAGACTAATAAAAGAAACCGGAATTAAGAAGTCAAGTGTAAGTGAGACAATCTCGGAAAAGGACGGAACCCTTATCTGCTCTCAACCCAAACGTTTAGAACGATGGGCGGAACACTTTAAGGAGCAGTTTAGCTGGCCTTCAGCTACTGCACAACTACCCACTACTCCTAGAAAACCTGAATGGAACATTGAAGTAGGCCCCCCGACCCTACTTGAAGTTCAAAAAGCTATAAGTAATCTGAAACGAGGAAGAGCAGCTGGTCCTGATGGATTAGTTCCAGAGGTCTTTAAATATGGTGGTCCAATTTTAGCGATTAGGTTGACTAATATTTTAGCTAAAATCTGGGAGTTGGACGTAATCGCTTTCGACTGGTCACAATCACTGATTGTAGCAAAATCAAAATCATCCTGTGATAACCATAGAGAGATTAGTTTAACTAATATAGTGTCTAAAATGCTAGTCTCAATAATTATCGGGCACCTAGCAAAGATTAGTGAACTGCAAACACGAAATAATCAAGCTGTTTTCAGACCTGGTTGTGGCTGTATCGACCACGTATTCACTATTCTATTGATGAAGTAGTGAAACTTCATCAGTTGAAATGGCTAAGTCACGTGTTACGTATGCCCAACCACCAACTGCCACGACGTGCAATGTTTTATGGCGTAAAAGTAGGTTGGAAGAAAGCTAGGGGCAGCCACACCAAAACGTGGCACAAATCTATGAAGTCACTAACAATTGGACTGAGCCATGCTGGTAGGTGTAGACTACCCGGTTGGGATTCGCGAGCTGATAGCAATCGATGGTTAGAGATCTTGAATGACATGGCAAACTGTCATTTGACTTTGCAACCTCAGGCGATGTCCGACAACGCTGTCCACTATCTCCATTTCTGTTTAACTTCATCATAGACCTACTGTTTGAAAAAGCACTCTCATCGACTGAATTTTCAAAAATTAATCTCTTACCAGGAGGTCCACTTATCGACTTGGATTACGCAGATGATATAGTCCTGATTGGTGAAGACGCTGACAAAATGCCGAGTCTTCTGTTAGAACTGAGTAACAATGCCCCCTCTAAATGTAAATTGTTACTCCAGTACTGTCCTGCGTCAACACCTGAACTAAGAATAGGGAGTGAAGTAGTTGAACGCGTCGACAACTTCACTTATCTTGGAAGTCTGATCAGCCGTAATGGGTTGGTGTCTGACGAAATCTCAGCACGGATTCAGAAAACTCGTTTGGCTTTTGCCAACTTACGTCACCTATGGCGAAGACGAGATATCCGTTTATCAAATAAGGGACGAGTATACTGAGCAGCAGTTCGCTCTGTCCTACTTTACGGCTGTGAAACATGGCCATTAAGAGTAGAAGATACTCGTAGGTTACTAGTATTTGACCATAGATGCCTTAGAAATACTGCTCGCATCTGCTGGGATAACTGGGTAAGTAATAGCGAGGTTAGACACAGGGTATTAGGGAATGATGGTAAATCAGTTGATGAGGTGATGAATCTTCATCGACTGAGATGGTTGGGCCACGATTTACGTATGCCTGAACACCGATTATCACGACGCGCTATGCTGACTAGTATTGGCGATGGTCAGGAGAAAGTTAAGGGCGGCGAAACTAAAACGTGGCATCAGTGTTTGAAGTCACTGATTTCTAGTCTGAGCCATGTTGGCAGATGAAGACTACTTGGTTGGGGTCCACGTGACAATCGTAACCAATGGTTGGAGACTGTGTGAGATGTCTCAGAATCGATCACAATCGCGCAGGTGTATACACTCTTTATCTTCACTTAAACCTTTCTTTCTTCCTTTATTACATCCTTATACACAACCTTTCTTTTATATATTGCCACCACTAAATAAACTACTTCTATTAATTTGGTGTTCATCTTGTTGTGCTAATGAGTGAGGTATGGCAACTTGGTCCGATGCATATATGTGCCTGGTCCTACGTTGTAGCTGACTGACTGTCGTCAGACACAAACCCATTAGGGCTGATCAGACTTCCAAGATAAGTTAAGTTGTCGACGCGTTAAACTAATTCACTCCATATCCACAGGTGTATCCACTCTTTGTCTGCCCTTAAACCGTGAGATTAAAATATCCGCATATCTGTCTTTCTTCCTGTACTATATCCTTATATACAACCTTTCTTTTATATATTACCACCACTAAATAAACTACTTCTATTAATTTGGTGTTCATCTTGTTGTGCTAATGAGTGAGGTATGGCAACTTGGGCCGATGCATATATGTGCATGTTCCTACGTTGTAGCTGACTGACTTAATCCCCATCCACATAGAAAATTTCGTATTTCTGCATTTGAAAAAAAATAACCAGTGCTTGAATCGTCTTATGTGTTATTCAGAATACTAAAACATAGATGATTGTTGTTTGTTTTCATAAAAATAGTATAACTGTCAACCGAAGACATTTGAAGTAACTCAGCTGACTAGTAACAACTTTCATGGTATTTTGAAGAACAAGTTCCAAGTTTAAAAGTACATTTCACGAACAAATAAGTGTTGCACATAAATTAGTTACGATTTTAGCAATTCGCATTACAGTCGTTCGATATTTGCAGTAAATCGCAGTCACATTATTGCGTATTTAGACATGAATAAAATACTATTTAAGAGGCATTAAAAAGGCTACCACATAAACCTTTGGTGCACACCAGGCTGACTTGGCCATTCAAACGGCCTAAAGATAAAGAGGTATGCTGTAATGAATACAGTCAATAGATTCCACAAAACTTCACAGAGCAAGTACTTGTAATGAGTATGTGAAAGGGAGAAGATTCGCCATAATACAAATGGGATCAGGAAATATCGCAATTCGAGTAAACCAGAAGCGATCACAACAATGAAAGCGCAAACTAAGAAAACTAGGCGTTCTATGAAAGGACCGAATGGTATGTTGCGATAAGAAAAGAACAACGTGTTCACAAAGTACGCTGTCGCCACCAGGTAAACAACAGACAGACTATAATAAGTGGAAACACTTCTATATATGATTTTTCGCCAGATATAGAAAGTATAGTGTCTATTGTCGGAAATCAAATAAGGATGAACAAAAAAGCAATACTTCAAAGATATTAATATAAATAGGACAAAAATTGGTGTGAGTACAAGAAATATACTCAACACCCTCCAACTTCGATTAGCAAGCAAGTTTTTAAATGACTTAATGCTATTTAATATGAAACCCCCAAACTGAACGGGAGTAGAGAATGCACAAAAAGTAGCAAAGTATAAAAATTGAGGGATGTTCAAAACTGCAGTATGTGCTTCTCTATCACCCAAAACAATACCTTTATTTATAATAACAAAAGATATAAACGAAAATAAAACTAAGACGAAAGGTAAACATGGCCCAAAGACGCTTTTCAGTATAACAAACATGACAGAAATTGGATGTGTAGTGAACATGTACAGTAATCTTTTGATCCACATGGTCGAGGAACATCGGTCATGCCCGAACATATTTTGTGATAAGCTCCCGGAAGTGTGGATGCACATAAGCAGAGGGACCCATACAATATTAGATTGACGTGTGAAGACAGCATATGAAACGAACAAAGCACTTAACCAGCCATGATGTAATAAACTAAAGTAAACAGACGCCATGACGAATAAAATCGAGCAATGATCAGTGTAGTACAAGGCAGAGAAAAAGATGAATAATGGTCCCGATGCGATAGCGATTGCTAGAATATTAGGAGAGTTACATTTCATGATTTTAACAAGCCTAAGAATAATCGCATGGTTCAATAAACTGAAAAGGACACTCGAAAACCTCAAATGCATTACAGTAGGTTCAGGTGGAAGTACACCTAATGAACTCAAAACTTTGTGAGCGGACACATAAGCCACATAAAGACCTGGAGGTGTGGTGATCTTGTTGTCCCAGGACTTCCAGTTTCCTTGAATATATTTTAATGTTTGGCGCACATGAAAAACTTCATCCATGTAAGGCTCATGTTGATATCTAGAGAATACATAAGTCAGGACACATGATACGGCAGCAGTGAATGTTATAAGCATCCAAGAAACTATGTAGTTGTAACTCATTTTCTGATAATTGGCTGATATTTGTGGCCTGCAATTATGGGCTAGGAGGACGCGCGACTTTATGTGCGTATTGTCAGTTCACAATTGATGAACAGGGACAGAGGTATGTGGTGAAACACAAAACCGGCGAATAATAGTAACGCACTGTTAAACTACGGTAAGTTTCTAATAGAACCTTGAAATTAGCAACATGAACTCAAGTACTTACATGTTACGTCAACGGTTAAACCACGACCTTGAAATTCAATATCTTTATCTTACATGAGTAAGAACAGCAGATTGCCTGACTTATGCGTATTCCTCCGATAAATATTCCTCCAGGCTTTCACTTTCCCCATGAAGTTTCTCTTCATGAAGATCGATGTCACTTGTTCATATGGGGTGTTAAAACCCCTAACAATTAAGGGAAAAATGGGATCCCTCGGAGTTTATTCTCGGGACGTTCTTGAACCTGTCTTGTTTATTTAGGGAGATCATTAGTCTTCGAGATGATTGAAAGGTAGACGTGTTAAGACTACAATTATTGGTACTTATTCGAACTTTGGGATGGAATTAGGAGATCACTTCGCAATTTCCATTTTTAGAAGTGAAAAAGGTTAACTCATTTTATTCGTTCGTCCATATATATATATGTATATATTAGAAGGTTGTGTCATTAAATAATTACTCACTCGATGAACAGTCTTGTATAGGTAAATAAATCCTTAAAATCAATAGCTTTGTAAGGGTTCGACATATATTATTAATATACTCACCAGGCTGAAGGCGCTCGGTCATGCATCCGCACCAGATCACGAGTTGGAATAGTGTGCTCAACTCCTCGTGCGATCAATAGCCAGTTTAGATCAGCCACTCCTCGATATATTGAAAATCTATCAAATATATCTCCCAACCTCCTCGCTTCTGACTTTCGATTTCACAGGGTGGGGACGATTCAATTATATATGATGTTCCTGGTATGTTGCGATAAGAAAAGAACAACGTGTTCACAAAGTACGCTGTCGCCACCAGGTAAACAACAGACAGACTATAATAAGTGGAAACACTTCTATATATGATTTTTCGCCAGATATAGAAAGTATAGTGTCTATTGTCGGAAATCAAATAAGGATGAACAAAAAAGCAATACTTCAAAGATATTAATATAAATAGGACAAAAATTGGTGTGAGTACAAGAAATATACTCAACACCCTCCAACTTCGATTAGCAAGCAAGTTTTTAAATGACTTAATGCTATTTAATATGAAACCCCCAAACTGAACGGGAGTAGAGAATGCACAAAAAGTAGCAAAGTATAAAAATTGAGGGATGTTCAAAACTGCAGTATGTGCTTCTCTATCACCCAAAACAATACCTTTATTTATAATAACAAAAGATATAAACGAAAATAAAACTAAGACGAAAGGTAAACATGGCCCAAAGACGCTTTTCAGTATAACAAACATGACAGAAATTGGATGTGTAGTGAACATGTACAGTAATCTTTTGATCCACATGGTCGAGGAACATCGGTCATGCCCGAACATATTTTGTGATAAGCTCCCGGAAGTGTGGATGCACATAAGCAGAGGGACCCATACAATATTAGATTGACGTGTGAAGACAGCATATGAAACGAACAAAGCACTTAACCAGCCATGATGTAATAAACTAAAGTAAACAGACGCCATGACGAATAAAATCGAGCAATGATCAGTGTAGTACAAGGCAGAGAAAAAGATGAATAATGGTCCCGATGCGATAGCGATTGCTAGAATATTAGGAGAGTTACATTTCATGATTTTAACAAGCCTAAGAATAATCGCATGGTTCAATAAACTGAAAAGGACACTCGAAAACCTCAAATGCATTACAGTAGGTTCAGGTGGAAGTACACCTAATGAACTCAAAACTTTGTGAGCGGACACATAAGCCACATAAAGACCTGGAGGTGTGGTGATCTTGTTGTCCCAGGACTTCCAGTTTCCTTGAATATATTTTAATGTTTGGCGCACATGAAAAACTTCATCCATGTAAGGCTCATGTTGATATCTAGAGAATACACTTGTTCATATGGGGTGTTAAAACCCCTAACAATTAAGGGAAAAATGGGATCCCTCGGAGTTTATTCTCGGGACGTTCTTGAACCTGTCTTGTTTATTTAGGGAGATCATTAGTCTTCGAGATGATTGAAAGGTAGACGTGTTAAGACTACAATTATTGGTACTTATTCGAACTTTGGGATGGAATTAGGAGATCACTTCGCAATTTCCATTTTTAGAAGTGAAAAAGGTTAACTCATTTTATTCGTTCGTCCATATATATATATGTATATATTAGAAGGTTGTGTCATTAAATAATTACTCACTCGATGAACAGTCTTGTATAGGTAAATAAATCCTTAAAATCAATAGCTTTGTAAGGGTTCGACATATATTATTAATATACTCACCAGGCTGAAGGCGCTCGGTCATGCATCCGCACCAGATCACGAGTTGGAATAGTGTGCTCAACTCCTCGTGCGATCAATAGCCAGTTTAGATCAGCCACTCCTCGATATATTGAAAATCTATCAAATATATCTCCCAACCTCCTCGCTTCTGACTTTCGATTTCACAGGGTGGGGACGATTCAATTATATATGATGTTCCTGGTAAAGTGTTGTCAAACTATAGTACCTCAAGTATCTTCATTTCTAAGTCTGTCTATATTTTTAATACTGCCTGGACTGGCTACTTCAATTTTGTGTTCTATGTAGGTTGTGAAATATGACTGTACCTTCGTCAAGGTTCCTTGAAGCTCTGAAAATAACCGTAGAATGTGAAAGCTTATATTCGCTATCTCAATAGTTTGTTCAGACTTTTACTGCTACTACTCAGATTTCATGAATATCCAGGGCTTGAAAACCCTGTTCTCTGTAATGCCTATTTGATGAAAAGTTCTCAAGTTAGTGGAATCAGAAGTCAGTGACAGAGTTTGGTAATATATTTTAAAAGTGGACGTGTCGACAAGTATACGAGCCAAGCTGGCAAGTTGTATCCGAAGTATACGTAACACGGTGTACCCAATTGTTATCTGGTGTGTAATGTGCAGCTCGATCAGTTGACTGGAATTGGTGTTAGAGTAAATAACTTATTGCAACTGCTCAGCTGAAGGTATAGACCCAACCAAACGGTAAATCAATAATTTTAAATCAGCTGCCGTTGCTACCATACTGTGCGAGTACACGACCAAGAGCGCTCAGCCATGGTGTGTCATAGGTTTCTCAAGCAAACAGTAACGTGCTAAACGACGAACGCAATAGTTAATCAATAAGAGTTCGATACCTGAGAATCAATAAAAATATTCCCAACAAGATGGAACTAGGTATCTATCAGAAAAAATACAGTAACTTCTCGAAGCTGACAGTCAATGGTTAACAATCTTACACTGGACAAACTCGTAATCTTGCATTTAGCCAAACACGACCTTATTGTCAATGGTCCGGTAAATGTTTAACGAAGTTCACATGGTGAAAACCAAGACAACGAGAACTGAAGAACATTACCTGTTATTAAAAGAGACCGGAGTAAGTGTTGGAATACAAGACAGGGAAAAGAAAGAAATAAGTCTAAAGGGATTTTGTGGAGATTTCAGTATTTTCATAGTTGAAAGCGTAAGTCTATTGAAGCTAGACCACCATCGAAAACCTGGAAGCACTGGACGACCGTTTCGTCCCATTATGGGACTCCTTAGCAGTGTGCATCCACGATCCCGCACTCGCGAGATTCGAACCCAGGATCTACCAGTATCGCGCCGGAGCACTTAACCGATAGACCACCTAGCCGGCATCCAACGATGTTAATGTCTAACTTCAACTGATACACGAAGTTGAGCAACCGTTCACCAATCGTCTTCAGTGAGTTGATATCACACAACAGACGTGGTTTGAACTCCACTGGTCACTTCTTCTCACTAGAACTCCTGGATTCACCTCTTGAAGTCAGTCACTAGTAAGCATATTATTGTTATTACCAGTAGGAGTTTGTGAAGACTTAGTATTTTCATAGTTGAAAGCGCGAGTCAATTGAACCGTTACTCAACTTCGTGGATCATTTGAATTTAGACATTAACATCGTTAGATGCCGGCTAGGTGGTCTATCGGTTAAGTGCTCTGGCGCGATACTGGTATGTCCTGGGTTCGAATCTCGCGAGTGCGCGATCGTGGATGTGCACTACTGAGGAGTCCCACAATAGGACGAAACAGCCGTCCAGTGCTTCCAGGTTTTCGATGGTGGTCTAGCTTCAATAGACTTACGCTTTCAACTATTCAAATATAAATAAATAACAGTACCGTTCAATACAATTGTTTGGAGGTATTTTCAGCATGTTCTTTCTGACGCATCAAATTTTTAATTCAACAGATTCTCGGTATTGTTTTTTCAGATTTTATTTACCTAACACTGGCGATATAAAGCTTATCATGGATATTTAATCCAGTGAATCCTTATTGGCTCGATTGTCGGCCTACTCGACACATCTGGGCTACCTGACTTGCTCTCGATATATTTAAACCAATTATCTGTTTTCGCTTGATTTAACACATTATGTTTATTAATCGCACAAACTATCAAGGTGCATTTATGAAAAGCTTACAACATTCCGCTGTATAAGCAGTTGTGTCGATAATGTCTCGGCACCACTGTATAATCCCTTCCTGTAGGTGTCGAGTAGTAAAGTTCCCTTTACTTGTTCTCATCTGTCTCATACGTAGTTTAAGGGTTGTTGAGGATAACTTATGCTGAAGATCAGTGTCTCCTCTTTTGAGGCTGAACGAGTTTATGACTGTCAGTTCCTTGGCAACGGTTCAAGGAAGTACTGGACAGAACGTCTTTCACTACATTTTGCCCCAAGAATGTGTTGTATATCTGAAGTAAACGCCAAAATGTAGTCTAGTTGTCGAGACTCTCGGTGGAAGTACTTGTCTGGAGACGAGCTTAGAGAGAAGGTGAGGGGTTTGTGTTAGGTAAACAGACTAAATTCTTGGTCTTTTGCAGAGGGTTGAAAGTGCCGTACATTACAATACATGGCTAGGATTTTCCTACTGAAAGTGTTATACCTCGATTCAGTTTCTTGCAACTATCCTGAGAAGAATTCTAAAGTGTATCGGCTGTTGTTTACTCATTGTTGTAAGACACCTCCGATTATTGGGTCCGATGTGTCTACTGCGATACTAATGGAAGCTGTGTCGTCCTAGTGTGCGAGCAGTGTTGCTTTGGTGATCGG